TGGGGTACGAAAACGGGAATGTTTTGTCCGTCTTGTTAGGCAAAGGGGATTCAGTATGGTCCAGTTGTGAGGGTTGTTTGTCCATTTTGTCTGTAAGTGTATTAGTCTTTCCGAAATTTTGGTCATGTTTGTGCGTTCGTATAGTAGTTGGTTGGAAGGGTTGTGCAGGGGGGTTTGGGGGTGTCTTATTCGTGTTATTAGTATTAGTGCAATTTGTTCAGTTGTTTGTACGTATCGTTTTGTCCTTTCTGTTCCGTTGGCCATGAGTATATGTCCGTAGTCCAAGAGGGGTCTGCAGATCGCTTTGTATATTTTTGACGCGGTATTGGTACTAATTCCTTTGTCTTTGTATGTTAGTGATCGAAAGTGTTTTGTTCTTTTTATCGTTTCTGTTCTGATGTTTCGTGTGCGTTTAGTGAATTTGAGTTTGTGGTCGATTGTTATCCCAAGGTACCTTACGTCGTTTTCTGTTGTGATCTGTGCACCAATGGCTGTCAAAGAACTTTAATTGAGATTAGGAGCATGTTTATTTTCAATTTAATATATTTGTTATAAGTCTTGCCACTGTGCAAATATATTATATGGAAACAAGTAACAGGGACGCAATCCTGCTAGAAGATTTAAATGTAGCTGTGTACTTGCATTCATAGATGGCAGCCGGGTAGCGCGCGTCCAACAAAGTGCGAGTGCGTGGGTTATCTACCTATGACTATTGTTGTGTCAGCCCGACAGCAGCTAATTGTTTATTTACCAATTTGTGCAAAGTCTGGGGGCCAAATAATGTTAATGATTTAATGTAGATTCATTAGAACAGCAATTTTCCAGTTCTAATCAAAGATTTCATGTTGATTGCGCGAGCCCTAAATCCTACTGAAAATGTTGAAAAAGGGCTCATTTAACCTGAAAATGGTTTGTATTTTTGTAAATAACGGCGATTTCCGGGTTTAATTGGCTCTCCTTTACAGCCTGCTAACAATTTCCATGAATTGGTATCAAGCGCAGCCGATCCGAATACACTAATAGACGTTTATGATCCTGAAACTGGTACTCTGGTAAAAAGTAGCCCCCAATCTTTGAAGCAGAGTTTCTACAAGCCCCAGCAGAAGCCTCCCATGAATGTTGTGTATCAGGTCGTCTATCCTGATGATCTGAATCTGAAGGTGATTTGAATCAACCCAGCAGGCGAATGTTTCACGTACATGATGTTTTTTCAGCCTGGTGTCGGATACCAAAAATCCAAAAGTCGAGTGGGCAGGCCAAAGAAAGCGAAAATCCCGCAACTAACCCACATAGAGTTGAATCAACCGAGTCAAAAGAGCAAAGTGCAGGTGGTGGCAAAGACTCGGTCCGGTAGGGAAGTGAAATTTCCAAAGCACATTCAAAATGTAGGTAATGTACAATAGTTCAGACATTACATAGAATTGAAAAACTGCTCTCTCCGGGTTGTTAAGCCGTCGTCTGTTGGAATTCGGCCCTAACGTTTCGCTAATATGTATGGCTAATATCTTCAGAGGCGATTACACTTTAGTGTGGACGCCTCCGGACGTCGGCTTCCGATACCCCGAAAACCAACAGTTTTAAAAAATTTACGTTGTTCTGCTTATAGTGCATATATTGCCATTTTAGGACTTCAAAAAAATTGTGACTGATGACAATGTAACAAACGACTCAGAAATCGAAACGGCGGACTTTGTTAAATACACTGAAGCGGACAAATCAAAGGACAAGCCGGAAGTTATAGAGGAGAAGCCGACAGTTTTGGACTCTGTGCAGAAAAAGAGGCGAATAGCTTCCCAATACCGCTGCCCCAAATGTCAGAAGGCTTATATGGGACGCAGCAAAATATTGGAACACTTGAAGAAAAACCCCACACACGGCCCAATGAATGAAAGCGAAGGAAACCATTTTGAGGTCTGGAATTATTTAGTTTCCATAACGCAAAAGTGCCCTTCATCGGAGCGGGGCCCGAAGTTGTGCCAGGAACTCTCCAATCTCCTACACAATTTGTTGCTGTTGACCAATGCGCTCTTTAAAAAGTTGGGCAATGCCTCCAATGAGGTTAAGGTGGATAAGGTCCTGGGCAATGCCATTGGTTTAGCGCCTGGGACTTATTATTTTGATGACAACAATTTGTACAAAGACGTCACGGTGTTGAAGTTGATGAGTAACACGGACTTTTTAAATTCGATCAGATCCAAGTCGCAGGAGAATATTGCGCGTTCGCCTGAGGTGAATTGCAAATGCGGCAAATCTAGAGAAGTGGTGCCTTCAATTGCGCCTTCAATTGAAGCTAATGATGAAATAGTGAAGAAAATAGACAGCATCAATATAGGGAACAACGACACTGTGCCAGAGCTGGAAAAGGCAGGCGATAAGTTTGGAGAGCAGCAGTTTTTTTTGTCGGACGACGTTTATTCAAGTTTGAGCGACTATGAAATGAAGTCTGGCTTGGATCCATCTGAAGAGAAAATCGCTCATGAGAGCAAACCGCGGCCTGAAGCTGTAAACTACAAGACTGATTTAAGTGTTAAAGGCGAAGCCAAGTTATTTCCGGATATTGGGGATTATAACAGTTTCTCCATGAGTTATGGGGGCAATGATGATAATTTGGAGGAGCTGAAAAAGTCGCCCAAAAGCCCCAAGATCAAAATCCAGTCGAATATTCTCCTCTGTCCGCCAAACCCCAAACTACCGCAGTCGAATTTCCACAGCGAAACGTCGCCTAGTAAATATCTTCTAAACACAGACTTGCTGATAGATAATTCGGTGCTTTTGCCAATTCCAAACCTGCATCATGGAGTTGATGAACTGATGCTGCCCGTCACGGATGAAACAGGCATTTTGGACAACTCGAGCGGTTCGGACGAAGTGATGAATGTGGATCAGTTTGTTAATGAGCGGTTTCGCCGAATAACCGAGTCCGATTTAGGGGCGAATGACGGAAGCTTGAGTCTCGAGTTACCGGCTCTGGGGCTGTTCCCGTTTAACTCTACTTAGAGGAGAATGTTACTAGTGATTCAATCAATTATTTGACTTAAGTATTCGTTATTTAAGAGTTTTTAGGTTTATGGGCAAGCTTAGAGCAAAGGTCGTTGTGGGTTGTTTTTGGCCACACATTTGTTTAAAGATAAAACATATTGTATTATGTATATATTCGGGGGATTTGTGTATTTAAAATGATAATGGTTGACGTTATAGCGTTATTCTTACAAAGCATTGTATGGAAGCGTTTAGGACGCACAAAAGTTACATTTTTGTCACAAAAAACTGCGATATTTGCAAAATTCAATGTTTCAATTAATTCGTGTTCCATTTAATAAACATTTATTGAATTGAAATCCACATGAAAAATTTCACTAGATTTCATTAAGTAAAAATGTTTCAAAAACCATCAAAATAAATTTAAAATCATTTTCCCATCCCACGCAAAAATTAATCAACCATATTTACAAACATGAATATTTGGCCATCCGAAATTCACTGAAGCGTAAACATTTTAAATGCAAGTAGAATTTGGTTTATTTATAAACCGGTTTGTAGCGGCTTTGTTCCGGCGCCCGTTCGAGTAAATCAAAATGAAGAAAACGCTTGTTTCCCTCAAAATCCTGCAGTCCTTTTTAATCTCAGCTGATACTGAGCACACTCGCATTAATCACTTGAATTCAAATGCTTGATAACCGGTTAGTTGACCTGGATTTCGATAGTCGGCTCGATTTCGCGTCGGAAACGCCTGTTGTTTTTTCGAAAAATGCTCCAACTAGTTCCTCGCTTGGCATTAAAATCGGGTGCTCGTTTGTTTTCGCGAAGAAATCACTTCCTTGAGGTGAGTGATGAGGTGACTGAGGCATTGAGGCTCAACAGGCCGGTGGTTGCGCTGGAATCGACAATTATCACTCATGGGATGCCGTTTCCTCAAAATGTTGAGTGCGCTTTGGAGGTGGAGGAGGCGGTTCGAAGCCAGGTGAGGAAGAAACTAAACATCCTAAATTGTTGATTATCTAATGTTCGATTGGCTCAGAATGCGGTTCCAGCAACAATCGCCCTAGTAAATGGAGCTGTTAAAGTGGGTCTATGTAAGAGGGAAATTGAGATTTTGGGCGACACGAAGATTAGCCGCCCAGTGAAAACCTCCCGCAGAGATTTTCCGTATGTTCTGAGCAATAAACTCAACGGCGGCACCACCGTGGCTGGCACCCTGGTTGTTTGCAACCAGGTTGGTATACGAATTTTTGCAACTGGAGGTAAAATATCAGGTTTAGTTCAATGGTTTGAGCTAATTGTGTCTTTCACTGTGTAATAGGGATTGGTGGTGTCCATCGCGGAGCAAGCGAAACGTTTGATATTTCCGCTGATTTAACTGAATTGGGACGTTGTAATGTTGCGGTTGTTTCCAGCGGCGTTAAATCGATCTTGGACATAGCGAAGACGCTGGAATACTTGGTAATATGAAGTGTAGATAAAGTAGATAATTAGACTTATTCTTTTCTTAATTCAGGAAACACAGGGGGTTTTGGTTGCAACCCTTGGCCCAACCGCAGCGTTTCCAGCTTTCTACAGTCGCTTGAGCGCTCACAAAGCCCCATACTGTGTTGAAACTGCTTCGGCTGCAGCCGAAATCATCAAAGCTCACAAAGACATGCACCTTGAATCAGGTAGTGAAAATTTGAAAATTAACAATTTTCAGAATCATCGCTTTGCGCATTTTTCTGTAAGTTTTAAAGTCGCAGCTTTCAGATAGCGAAGTTTGCTTTTGAAGTAAATTTTCATCATTTTGAAATACTACATTTGCTAGTTTTTACGGCCTTAATGGACTAATAGACTTTTTTGTCGTAGGCTTGTTGTTTGGAGTGCCTGTTCCAGAGCCTTATGCTTTTGATCCAGAATCAATTAACCGAATTATCGACGACGCATTAGTGGAAGCCCATAAGGCAGGCATAAGTGGTAAAAACATCACGCCCTTTCTTTTGGAGCAGATCGCTGGGATGTCGGGGGGCAGCTCGTTGAAAACTAGTATCCTTTTTAGGAAGCAGAGCAAAACGTTATTTTTGCACCATAGAAAAGGTCTGAGACATCTTATAGGGCGTTTTTAAATATTTACAGCTTTTAGATGGTTAGCAAAGGAGATTTTTGAGGTAATTTCTTGAAACTGATCAGTTTTCCGGGCTTTTTGGCCGCTGTGGATACGAATTTTTTGAACGGCGGCCTGAAGGCTCGAAAAACGTACCTATCTGCTTCATTTTGGAAGGTGCAAGCATTGATATTGTTTTATGATGTTTTGGCCTTAAATTGCGTCTAGATATTGCGCTAATAAAGAACAACGCAAAAACTGCAGCAGAGATTGCCGTCTGTTTAGCGCATCTGGAAAGAAACGAAGAAGACACCAAACCAGAGGAGAAGCTGCCCTCGAGCAAACGGCCCGTAAGTACCTACATTATTATCTTCCTTGAGTTTATGCCAGGCGTTCGTCATAGTAATGGTGAGTTAATACAATTCGCCCTGAGTGTTTTACGACTCTAAGCTAGAAACGTTATCAATCTTAACAAACTCGTCATGTTTACAACCGAACTCCCGGCAGATCCTTAACTAATTTAATATCGCCATCTCACGTGTATCCAGACCTTTGCACTAAGCGGAGCGCCCCATTCATTCCCGAACCTGGAAGAGTGATTAACGAAATTGATGCGCACAATTATAACGCCGATTAACTCCTTGAAAGTGCCGATGATTGATGAGCCGGTTTCCAGGCTGGATTCTGAAGCAACGGAAATTAAAGTTTTTTACGAGGGAAGCGACAAGGCGTGGGTATTTGTCCAGAAAGTTTGCTCCCGAACTTATTACATCAATTTATTAATTTGAGGAATGTTTCCGTCGAGGCAGATGAGATAGGGGTGGGGTTTAAATGGTTTGAAATTTTCACTCGATTTGCTTTTTTGGACTTCGGTGTCGAACATTTTCATTTGACCCTGGTTTCCAATTATACATTTTTTCAAAAACATACGAACTTAGAAAGTAACGTTCATACTTTTTTGCAGGTTATTATTGGAGGATGCAACTTGGACTGCGTGGTTCATCTGGAATCCGACGAACTAAAGGTAAGCAACTTTTCAATTGCAACCGGTTTGGACGCAAAGAATTTTTGAACAACGGCGTGTGCGTTTAGCTGCCAAACTCCTCGCAAGTCTCACCTTGAGTAATTGTCATACTTAAGCCCATACCTCCAGGAAAATAAAATTTTGAGGAAATATAGAGTGCAGTTTGGTCTATTTGTTGTCGCAAAAGAGCTTTTTAATTTTAACTGGCGGTTTGCGGCAAAAGTTCTTGCAAGTCTCACTTTGAGTTTTTGTCAAAATTTATCCCAATCGTCCAGGAACATAAAATTTTGAGATAACATAGACTGCAGTTTGTTGTATTTAAGACCGCAAAGGGCGCTCTTTAATATTATCTGGTTTGCTCACTAAAAATTGTTGAAATACGTCGGGTAAATTTAGCTGCAAAACTTCTTGCAAGTCTCACATTGAGTACTGGTAAAAATTTAGCCCAAAACTCTGGAAAATTAAATTTTGAGGAAACATAAAGTTTAGTTTGTTCTATTTGTTGCCCCAAAAAGAGTTTTTAATATTAACTGGTTTGGTCACAAAAAATGTTGATAGACGGCCGGTAAATTTAGGCGCAAAACTAGCAAATCTCACTTTGAGTATTTCTCAAAATTTAACCCAAATAGGTAGAAAAATCGAACTCTGAGTAAGTATTGAGTGCAGTTTGTTCTATTTGTTGCCGCAAAAAGCGCTTTTTAATATTAACTGGTTTAGTCGTAAAAAAATACTGAAAAACGGCGTGTGCGTTTAGGTGCAAAACTCTTTGCAAGTCTCAATTCGAGTAATTGTCAAAATTTAGCCCATACATCCAGGGAAATTAAATTTTGAGGAAACATACAGTGCAGTATTTTCTATTTGTTGCCGCAAAAAGAGCTTTTTAATATTAACTGATTTATTTGAAAAAAAAATTAAATAAAAACTGCAGGTGCGGTTAGCTGCAAAAGTCCTTGCAAGTCTCACTTTGAGTATTTGTCAAAATTCGGCTCAAATATCCGGGAAAATCAAACTTTAAGGTAACATAGAGTGCAGCTTGCTCTATTTGTTGTCGCAAAAAACGCTTTTTAATATTATCTAGTTTGGTCGTAACAAAAAAATAGAAAAAAGGCCGGTGCGGTTTGCCGCAAAAGTCCTTGCAAGTCTTACTTTGAGTAATTGTCAAAATTTAACCCAAACATCCAGGAAAATGAAATTTTGACGAAACCTAGAGAGCAGTTTATTCTATTTAC